CTCTACCAAAGTATACCATTCAGAAAAAAATTTTGCTCTCCACTGTTGCCTCTGTCCCTTATCTTGGACAACTTGAGAGCTGAGGAACAACTTGGTTCTAAACTTCATTAACTCTTTGCATTGGAGCATGACAATGAAAGATGCGAGGTGATCCCTTAAATGTATGTAGTTTCATGCCTTTCCTTTAAGGAGATTTGCTAGCATCACTTTGTAATTCTTTTACATAATAACCATCGTTCTTAGAAAGCTCTGTTTTATGCTTAACAAAAATTCAGACCGGTTTTCTCAAGAATATCCTTATATTACCTATAAGTCCTATTTTTCCCAAACCTTTTATTCTTAATATTTGAATGCTTTTTTCCCCTGAAACTTTTTCCAAGAATATAGAAATATAATGGGTCAGTTTTGTTGCCTTGTAGAGGTTCCGAAACTTTGGTGGGAAAATGAATCGTGCTGAAAATGAAAATGTGTTGGGGTGGGATGAGGCAGGTGATTACAGATTCCAACAACCTACACCCTACTATCCTGGATTTAAAAGGTCTGCCTCTGCAGCACAGCCCAGAAGTCTTCCTTTGAACAGTCTCCTCCCACCTCTTGCTAGGTTTAACATGCAGATGATCCTCTGGCCATTTTGAGAAACACTCATTAAAATCAGAATGGGTCAGAAAATTTCCTTTGATATTCAGCCCCCACCTACCTTTCTATGTCCACCTTTTACTTCCCTCCATCTTTCCACCTGTCTCTGACAGTTTCAGGTCCAGTCAGCACAGAATACATCTAAACCTCACTACTGTGAGCATTCGCTTTCTCTCCTCCTCTACCTGGAAACTCCTATCCACTTATCTGTGGAAGCTTAAAAAAATATTACCCTCTTGATGAAGCTTCTTCCTCCCTTTCTCTACAGGAACGTGCACATCACTTTGTATGTATTGGAATGATTATTATCTTCTATCACAGTAATTGATCATGTCTTTTTTTCCATGCTAATACCATGTCTGTTCCCAGGAGAGTATCACACATTATTTACTCAATAAATGTTTTGCTGAATTATAAATCTAACTGATCCTCTATTTCTAAAATTTCCTTTAGGGACATCTGGGGGAAGGGGGGAACACTTGTCATCCTTTTTAACATTCTCTTGCGACAATCATAATTCTAATATTTCTAACTTCCTTTAATAATCTATATTGTTCCACAAACAATGTAAGTCCTGCTTCGACTTATTTGGGAGAAATTAGTTTTAAGTAAATGTTCCTTTCTTTGTAAAACTGACTGTACTATATTACTTTATCATTCCCATATAGACAAGTTGAGCTTTTGAAAGTGATTTCCTGAGGTCATATATTCTAGAAATTAATTTTTATACCATGATATGAAATTAAGAAACATTTCACTGGATGATGTAAACCAAGTCCTTAGCATCTGGGATAGCGGTAAAGCAGTTCTAATCCAGTCTGTTAGAAAGCCAAAGTAATAACTTGGAAAGTATTTGGATGGAAAGAAATACAAAAACCGGTGCCCTTTATGTGATGTAAAGTATACAATGCAAACGATCTATAGAAACAGAGAAGCTTTGAAATGTAAGCGTTCTTCTTTGTCAGTGTGGGTAAATCATACCCAAATCAATGACCTCTTTCCAATTGTATTGAGGAAAGAGAGTTGCATTATCATGAGTAGTTTTACTTAGTGTTTCAATCTTCACAATATGGACTGTTTGAGACCAGATCTGACATAATTCCTACTCAGTGCACAGAGAAACTTCCTTTTGCTTTGGATAACCAACCTGGTTACATGGATTCTCATTAGCTTATGGGCATTTTCTGTGACCATCGACATTTTTAAACCTCTCAATGATAATCCCTTGGTTATTCAAAATGATAACTCCTTTCCACCTCATCAGAAAACCAGAAAGACTCAGAGCTAGAGTTCCCATCTGTTCCTAATTCCTTCCTTTTATTTCTTTCACATTTGTAGCTGTGAGTGATCATGTGACCTTTTGTGTAATAGAAAATGGCAGCCTGATTATATCTTAATAAAAGATCATTGTAATTCACACACTTGCAGTTTCCTGAACTCTTCTAAGCATTATGTCATATACTGCAAAATCAGCATGTGATTAAGGGGAAAGGGGCTCGGGAAATGTATGGGGTTGGATGATAAGCAAAGTCTTTTGATTCTGATAATGGCATATCTAAACATAAGATCCTTTGTAACATTTGCAATTCTGTGGTCTCACTAACCTGAAATGCTTCCCTGCCCTCATATGTACAACAACACAAATCTAAACCACTCTATTCAAAGTTAGCATGAAGTCCTCGGATTCTCACAAAGCCTTCTCAGGGCAATCCAGCCAGGGATATTTCTTAGTTCTTTGACACTTACTGTCTTCACTCCTAAGTTGACACCTGGCATGTGTCTGGACTCCCCAAAAGGTTGTACATTCCTCGAGAGTAGGAGCCAGGTCTTACGTGTCTTTTTTCCCCATAGCACAATAGCTCAGTACCCACCAATTCCCAATGAACCAACTCTTCCCAACACTACAAGGTAATTCTTGCAATATTGCATAAGCCATTTTGAATGTTAGAGTTTCAATGAGACCTAGCTCCATCTATTTCCCAGATAAGGATTTTTTTAAATCTTTAAAATCAGAATAACATAAAATTAAAGAGTAAAAAAAAATCAGTCTTCCAAATCAACACATACCTATCATGGCCTTGAAATTGTCCATTTAAAAGAAAATGATCCCCTTATATTATTAACCAAATAACACTACATCAGATATAGGGTACATTTGAAAACCTGGTTTGGACTGAAATTTTCTTTCTGGTTTGAAAATTGTATGTCCCATACAAAAACTATGTCTCATCAACTATTCAATTGTTTTCCATAAACGTTTTGAATAAATTGTTTATTAAAAAAATTGATTATAAAACCATAGAATTTTAGAGCAAGGATACTTTAGGATATATCCATTAGATCACCTATCATTTTACAGATGAGAAACCAGAGGCCCACCCAAAAGATCTAAGGAATTCACTGTGAGTAACCTAATTAGTCAGTGACATAAATAGGACCAGCGTTCAGATCCCAAATGAATGCAACTTCTGTTACATTTCACTGTTTCATTTAGAGCACTATCTATGCATGTAGTTTTAAACTATAACTTTAATACATAAAAAATGAATTAAAAAAAAACACTGAACACCACCATAGATGAAACATGCACACGAGGATAAACAGGTGCATGCACAATGCATGCCATGGTAGACGCTCCGTATTTGCACAAGTGCACAACACAACCGTTCTTAACTCACGAAGTTCAAAGGTGACTGTATCCCAAGGGTTTGTAAAATATGAGCATTTCTTACCTGGCGGCTGTATGAGGGTTGATAAAAGACATTAAAAACTTGAGCTGTGATTAGACATCAGATTTTTCTGGCACTGAAGGGTGGGTTACAGGGCTCTAGCATTTTTAATGGAAGGTCGGCCAGAGACTTGAGAGGACTCACCCAACATGCATGACTTTGGTTGGTATCGTTACCCCCATGGCAATATTAAGATGATGGCAGGTGATTATCACCTACATTTTCCTATTGTCCAGTTAGGGCTCTGTTTTTCCATATTGTGCCTTAAGTCGCTACCATTACAGTTACTTTTTTAAGTTAGAAAGCTTAGGTGGGAAAATACCTTCTGAACTCGCCACACTACTCCACCCCAGGTAATGAAAATAGCAGTATCAGCTCGAGTCCATTTTTGGACAAGTGCTTTTTTGAACTGTAAACATTCATAAGTTGGGAGGGGGCAAGAGGAGGAGAAGATCTACACATAACAGAAAAGCTATTGATGAGAAAGGACTCCAGTCCTTTTAAATGGTCCCAGTTCTTTACACTGATGTCCATACGTAACTAATAACTAGGGCTGTATGTATACTTTGAACACATAAATGATACCTTCTTAACATATTTCATAACACACATGATCTGCACCAGGATGCTTTTATCACACCTCATGAAAAGTAACATGGCCTCACATTCTAATGGTCAGATCCTTTTAAAAACACCCACCCTGATGCAGAACATCCCTTAAAGATTTATCCACCCCTATGAACTTCCTTTGCCCTTTTGTATAAAAGCTGACATCTTGACAGTGTTAATAGGTACCCAGGAGAGAACAAGGAAGGTGGAATAATATGTTCACTCCAGTTTATCTTTTCTTTCTAAATACTAAGGCATATAAAAGAATTAATCAGTAATAATAGATACCCAGATGAAACAAATGGCAGCAGGTTTGCACAGCTCTTAACCACCAAGAAATTCTACAAAACAGCATCAGCGATCAGTATTTTGACATGCAACAACAAAAAAGATAGCAAATTGGGTTGTGACATCTTTCAATGGCTGTTCCCTTCATCTTGCAAGAATGATGACTCTTTTTTAAAATAAATATTTTAAACAAATATGTTGGTCTTTGTATTAGAAAGTTTTAATTTGTTTTTATCAAAACCCAAATTGTTGGTAATTCTTACGTATCAGTTTCTTCAGTTTTACCCCACAATTTTAGAAGAGCAGACTGATTCTTTGGGCAAACATCAATAAAGGGTATTCTGAGATCCTGGAATCTTTCAAATGAAGAAGAACATATTCTCCTAATGAGCCTTCCTTAGAGAAGCTCCCCTGAAAGACTACAGAATGGATTCATTCCACATGTGCAGTTGCTTTCTGTCCCAATGGGAAGAAAGACTGAGAAATAGAGGAATGAAAATACCATTTCCACTTCTCAAGTTGAGATTATACTTGAAGAGTGGATCTGTCCTGTGGTATTCTTGACTCATAAAAAGTATTAGTAAGTAGATCCTTTGTCCAAGTTGGTTAATAGTAAGTAAGGAGGGCTTGAGTGATCACACTTGTACTTTCTTGAAATTCCATCACCCTGCTTTCAAAAGCAATGTGAGTTACTTTAAAGTAGTGAGACAGATTAGATTAGAAAGCAAAGTTACTCACCATGGAGGAATCACTGCTTCCACTCCCGATCGGAGCTCCCTCAGCACAGGTTGGGAGGTGGGTAGAAAGTTGACTAGCCCTGCCCCCATCTATGACATCACAATCTACCTCATAAAAGGTAGTGAAAGTGCTCTGAACTCCTGTCTGATTTCCGAGAGATACAGAAAAGAGAAAGTGAGAGAGAAAGCAAGAGAAAAAAAAAACGTACCTTATTGGGAAGGGATTAGGGAGGTGGAAGAGGGAGTGGGTCATTGGGAAAAAGAGGCATCTGAAGGAATTAGGTGCTGAAAGAGATGGGTGGGCCTCTAGGATATTAAGCAGCCCGGCCATTAGGATTCCTCATGGTATCTCTTGAACAGGTAAATGGACCACCTGGGAGAAGGAGGATGAAGAAGCACCCTGCCTTTTCAGGCACTGTGGGGGACAATTGTAGTGGGTTTAATGGGGATGAAGCCCCTATTTAAAGCATTGAAGATCACCAAGAGAGAAAGCAAGGGCTGAAGCTCTTAAAGCCTGGAACAGTACATGGGGAATCTCAGATGTCTTTCCTGGAAGTTCCATTGCCCTGCTGTATGACCTTCATCAAGCCCTAGGGCTTCTGCACATCCAGCCAGTAATGGTACTAAATGGATACTTACCTCCTTTATTGGAATCACTGAAGAACTAATGCATTTATTATTGCTAGAACTGCAACTCTTTTTACTCTTCCTTTGTGCACCCAAGGGTGGATTGTGTGACAAGCATAATTTAAAAGATAAGCCAATAGCCAATGCATATTTCTACCTTTAGAATTTTTACCTCTTAAAATGTTATCTTTGACATAAAATATTACTGAGAATCTTGACTGAGTTTTTCCATGTATACAAAATATACATCTAAAGGGGGTAGTTACAACCCACCTTTGAAACTGGAGAAAAATCAAACAGCAAGATTTCTCCAATCGTAAGGTGCCATGCATTGCCACTCTCAGAGGTCAAGTTTAAGTGACTCAGTGATGCTAAGTGACCAATAATTTTTTGTCACATGCAGTTCTGCTATAGTTACATAGTTGTAGCTTTGTTTAACCTCTTAGTCCATTTTTGGGAGGGAGTTGGGGGGAATAAGCTAAAATTGGAGAATAATGTGGAAAGAACTAAGGTCTTTTTTTTTCAAATAGAGATTTAGAAGTTTAAAATTATGAACTACTCAAAGTTGTCAAGTGGGTATTATGACAAAACAAAAGAAAGGTGTGATATTGATGAGCAGGCAGGTCCTGAAATCATCCACATGGAAGCCAGATCTCTTTCCACAGAAAATACTTTATAAAAGTAAAGATTCACAATGATAGCTTGTAATTCATGGCATAGTAAATGGGTAAAGCCCAAAGGCTGTTTCTGTATACAGATAAACAGAACTCCCAATTTGGAATTATTTTCTTATGTTTTGAGCCAATACAGTTCTATTTCTAGTTCTGTCATCCTTAGCTCACTAAATACATAAGTGAATTAGGTAATCACAATTTAAAATTAAGCAAAATTGGCAGATTAGGGAGTGTTTTGAAACACAGAAGCTACTAAATTCAAACTAATTACAGATCTGGCAACATTACTCTCATCTTTTACTTCAAAATAAATGTGAATGAAAGACATTTAAAGAATGTCCTAAGAGAAGTAAAGACAATAAAAAAGAAAAAAAATCTGGCAGATAAGAATGAAATTTTTCCTATATTTGACTTTTTCTCTAATTAGAGGAAGCAATAATGCCCTGTATATGTTTTCCTTATTCTAGTTCCATCTTCAATAATTCCAAGTTTAAATTCAAATTCTATATTCAACAGCTTTTGTTGCATGAGATTTCCCAATTAATGGCCCTAGAAAGTCTTATTGTCCTCCAATTTTTACATATTGGATCACTGACTAGTTGGCTTATCCTTGTTTTTTTATGCTTGGTAACAATCCCATTTAGTTTTAGAAATTAGGCATTTCCTGATTTTGACACTGTAGAGAATTCACTTATTATTATTCCCCAGTTTCAAAAAGATTATTATGTATTGAAAACTTATTTGTGTCATAACACCTTTTATACAAAAGTTAAAGGTAAATACTTTAAGAATAGTGATGTAATTGCCCATTCTTCCAATAAACACCTTAAGATTTTTACTACCCAAAAAAGGTACATGTCTCCCTAGGTTAAGATAGTAGAATCAAAATGGAATTAAACACTTTTTAAATATTGAAATAAAACAAACTGGAATTAGATCATAATCTATGTTATTTCTTATTAATTATCTGTTGTTTATTTGGAAATGGAGCATGACTTCAGGAACCCAATGCAAAACTAGGCTGCATCAAAAGGATGCAGAGTGATGAACTGTGCTGACTTTTTAGTATGATTGATTGTGATAATGTCTTCAGTTATATTAGTTAAAATAAAATTTTCTTTAATAGACTGTAATGCCAGGATCCGGTAATTTCCAACTCTTCTTAGGATCTAGCCTCTTGACATTGTTTATGAAAACTAAATCTTACTACAATTATGGATTGATGCGTACTTTTTATGATATCATATAAATTGATTAGTTAGCCCTTTCAAGACATCATATGAAGTGGGTGCAAGATTTCAGTCGAGACCCCATTTTTGAAGTCATAATTTTACTCTGACCAGAGAGATGTAGCGTTGGTTTCAAATTTGTTTTCTGTTGAAAAAAAAACAAGTTTTTATTTAACTTCTTAGTGAAAAAAACTTCAGAAAAGTGAGGTGGAATAATTTGTATACTCCAAAAGAATAACTTGTAGATGTATTTACAAAGTAATTCACCATGGAAGACATAATCAGGAAGTTGGCATGCAATTTTAATAAAATGTTATTATTAAAGAGTAATACCTCAGCAAGAGAGAATCCGATTTTGATAGCAACAGTAGATTTGAATCAGGAGTTCTTAGATAAAAATATTACGTTCTGAGTTTGTTTTATGATAGAATCTCACAAATAGACCTTTAAACTTGAAAGGGTACATGGTTCTTAGAAGATGATACTGACTAGAAGTTCTCCAGGATATCCTCTCTCACTTGCAAAATAGATTTGCAAAAGGAAATGGATGAAAGCAGTCAAGAGACAAGTTGGATAGATTTGACAGAACATCTAGCCAGAGTTCATGGAAGTCAAGTTCATTATTAGCAAGGCATCTGCACAAATGAAGGTATTTGGAGAAAAGCAATAACATAAAGTACATTATTGATAGTGAAGGAATTAAAGTCTAAATTAAGAAAGCTTGCCTTCAAGAAAATAGATTCTTATAAAATATTTGAAATGTGCTTATTGTCCAGAAGGAAAATGACTGTTCAAAATAGAGTAAGACAATGTGTTCTGAAGCAGAAAAAAGAAATTGGAACTAAGAAAATGCAACACTGCCCATCCAGAAGTCAGTCCTGTTTGTAAGATACATGGGCCAAAACATGGCGCATATTTCTTTTCTAAGGGCTGTGATCAAAGCCATATTTTATAAATCATTTAAATTAAACTGGATAAAGCATTTGACAAAATAATCTGTAGAGGAAGAATGTAGATGATAGTAAATTTAACAAACTTTTTTTTCTAGAATATAGTAAACCAAGAAACACAGTGAATACACAGAGATAGCCATCAACAGACATCTTGATAGTCTAGCTGAGAGAATGCTGAACAGTAAAGTGAAAAGCTAAATCCAAAAGAAAAAACAAAACCAAAAAAAAAAAAAAAAGAAACCCCACAAAAGGCTACACAACCTATTATAAGCACAATGGGCAGAAAAATTTATCCTTTTCAGGAAAATTATTTGCTATTTGAGATAAAGGACTTTGAATGCCCTTACCCAATTGATATTTAGCATATTCCTTTTATGTAGTTGGAATGCAATACGGTAGATATGTTCAAGTCAAGGAATCAGAAAATATACTTATGGGAACAGGAAATAAATACAACCCTTGGAAGTTCTGATTTTTAGTTAGAAATTAGGAAGGACATATGGAAACACTGATCTTTTTCTAGAAAAATATTGTCAATATTTTATAAAATCCAGTATAGAAAAAAATCCTTATCAGTTTTGTTATGAGGTCTCTTTATTTCCTGTAGTTTTAGTCATCTGAGGTAATGGGAAAGTATGCAAAATCAGCAACAAAATCCCCAGGTAATATATAGTATATGGTTTTAATGTTCATCTTTCTTTTTTACTTGTTTATTTTTTATATCAACTTGTTCACATGTTAACTTCTTTTTCTTTAACTGCCTTCCTGCTGTGTCCAAGTAGGAACAAGAAAAAAAAAATCACAGTGGATTTAGATAACCAATTCAAAATAATGGAATTCTTGACTAGAGCTGACAAATCCAAGTGCATACAGGAAAACTAGAAAGCAGGAACTGATTTACAGATGCTGTTTCTAAGTAAAGGCATTCACTCAACACTTTGGATTCCATAATTATTTTGTTCAGTTGAAGGGAACAGGTATATCTGGATTTGCTCTCAAATATCCAAAACTAGTTAAAAATGGGGGTGGGAGGAAGTAGCTCCTAAGATATTACTAAAGACATTAATTATTTAAAACATATCAATAGAGAAACGTCTTAGACAATTAACACATATATAAAATATCTCAAAATTAGATTACTGTCACATGGGAAAAATGTTATAAACCAGCACTTCTCAAATAGTTTTGCCTGTGTTTCACAGATATTAAAAGATATATGCAGGGCCGGCTGAGTGGCTCAGTTGGTTAAGAGCTCGCTCAAGAGTTTGAGCTCTGAGCAACAGTGGTTCGAGTCCCGGCCCAAGCTGAGCAGCCGCTGAGCTGCCAACAGGTGGCAGGATGGCTCAGCTAAACAAAAAAAAAAACAAACAAAAAGATATATGCAATCATTGCCCCTCATCTAGGTATTTCCCATGTGTCTAATTTCCAAGTTTTCATAAAATAATACCATTAATTAGCTGCCAAATAATCCTCAGAATATTAACTGAAATCTAAGGAATTAATTGCTAATAGATTAAGGTGTGAATAATTTGCCTTCCTTCTTTTAATTAGAGGCTTTCAAAACTTGAAAAAATCTTCTAGAACGCAAAGGAATGAAAGTTCATTGAATGACAGGTAATGGCATTGACATTTCTTAGGAAGAAATACGCAAGGCAGAAATGT